TAGAGATACAGGCTTCGGACAGGTACCAAATTAAAGCCCTTTCAAAACCCTACATTTTGGACTACAATGACGACCCTCTACTCCCAATAGAAGCGGAGATATCGACGGATGAAGGCTGGATATCGACGGAGAAAGGTTAGAAAACTTTAACCTTCGATATCTCCTAAACGGTTAGAGATACAGGCTTCGGACAGGTACCAAATTAAAGCCCTTTCAAAACCCTACATTTTGGACTACAATGACGACCCTCTACTCCCAATAGAAGCGGAGATATCGACGGATGAAGGCTGGATATCGACGGAGAAAGGTTAGAAAACTTTAACCTTCGATATCTCCTAAACGGTTAGAGATACAGGCTTCGGACAGGTACCAAATTAAAGCCCTTTCAAAACCCTACATTTTGGACTACAATGACGACCCTCTACTCCCAATAGAAGCGGAGATATCGACGGATGAAGGCTGGATATCGACGGAGAAAGGTTAGAAAACTTTAACCTTCGATATCTCCTAAACGGTTAGAGATACAGGCTTCGGACAGGTACCAAATTAAAGCCCTTTCAAAACCCTACATTTTGGACTACAATGACGACCCTCTACTCCCAATAGAAGCGGAGATATCGACGGATGAAGGCTGGATATCGACGGAAAACTTTAACCTTCGATATCTCCTAAACGGTTAGAGATACAGGCTTCGGACAGGTACCAAATTAAAGCCCTTTCAAAACCCTACATTTTGGACTACATGGACGACTCTCTACTCCCAGTAGAAGCGGAGATATCGACGGATGAAGGCTGGATATCGACGGAGAAAGGTTAGAAATTTTTAAACTTCGATATCTCCTAAACGGTTAGAGATACAGGCTTCGGACAGGTACCAAATTAAAAGCCCGTTCAAAACCCTACATTTTGGACTACATGAACGACCCTCTACTCCCAGTAGAAGCGGAGATATCGACGGATGAAGGCTGGATATCGACGGAGAAAGGTTGGAAAACTTTAACCTTCGATATCTCCTAAACGGTTAGAGATACAGGCTTCGGACTGGTACCAAATTAAAGCCCTTTCAAAACCCTACATTTTGGACTACATGGACGACTCTCTACTCCCAGTAGAAGCGGAGATATCGACGGAGAAAGGTTGGAAATCTTCAACCTTCGATATCTCTTAAACGGTTAGAGATACAGGCTTCGGACAGGTACCAAATTAAAGCCCTTTCAAAACCCAACATTTTGGACTACATGGACGACTCTCTACTCCCAGTAGAAGTGGAGATATCGACGGATGAAGGCTGGATATCGACGGAGAAAGGTTAGAAATCTTTAAACTTCGATATCTCCTAAACGGTTAGAGATGCAGGCTTCGGACAGGTACCAAATTAAAGACCGTTCAAAACCCTACATTTTGGACTACATGAACGACCCTCTACTCCCAGTAGAAGCGGAAATATCGACGGATGAAGGCTGGATATCGACGGAGAAAGGTTGGAAAACTTAACCTTCGATATCTCCTAAACGGTTAGAGATACAGGCTTCGGACTGGTACCAAATTAAAGCCCTTTCAAAACCCTACATTTTGGACTACATGGACGACTCTCTACTCCCAGTAGAAGCGGAGATATCGACGGAGAAAGGTTGGAAATCTTCAACCTTCGATATCTCCTAAACGGTTAGAGATACAGGCTTCGGACAGGTACCAAATTAAAGCCCGTTCAAAACCCTACATTTTGGACTACATGAACGACCCTCTACTCCCAGTAGAAGCTGAGATATCGACGGATGAAGGCTGGATATCGACGGAGAAAGGTTGGAAAACTTTAAACTTCGATATCTCCTAAACGGTTAGAGATACAGGCTTCGGACAGGTACCAAATTAAAGCCCTTTCAAAACCCTACATTTTGGACTACATGGACGACTCTCTACTCCCAGTAGAAGCGGAGATATCGACGGATGAAGGCTGGATATCGACGGAGAAAGGTTAGAAATCTTTAAACTTCGATATCTCCTAAACGGTTAGAGATACAGGCTTCGGACAGGTACCAAATTAAAGCCCGTTCAAAACCCTACATTTTGGACTACATGAACGACCCTCTACTCCCAGTAGAAGCGGAGATATCGACGGATGAAGGCTGGATATCGACGGAGAAAGGTAGGAAAACTTTAAACTTCGATATCTCCTAAACGGTTAGAGATACAGGCTTCGGACAGGTACCAAATTAAAGCCCGTTCAAAACCCTACATTTTGGACTACATGAACGACCCTCTACTCCCAGTAGAAGCGGAGATATCGACGGAGAAAGGTTGGAAATCTTCAACCTTCGATATCTCCTAAACGGTTAGAGATACAGGCTTCGGACAGGTACCAAATTAAAGCCCTTTCAAAACCCTACATTTTGGACTACATGGACGACTCTCTACTCCCAGTAGAAGCGGAGATATCGACGGATGAAGGCTGGATATCGACGGAGAAAGGTTAGAAATCTTTAAACTTCGATATCTCCTAAACGGTTAGAGATACAGGCTTCGGACAGGTACCAAATTAAAGCCCGTTCAAAACCCTACATTTTGGACTACATGAACGACCCTCTACTCCCAGTAGAAGCGGAGATATCGACGGATGAAGGCTGGATATCGACGGAGAAAGGTTGGAAAACTTTAACCTTCGATATCTCCTAAACGGTTAGAGATACAGGCTTCGGACTGGTACCAAATTAAAGCCCTTTCAAAACCCTACATTTTGGACTACATGGACGACCCTCTACTCCCAGTAGAAGCGGAGATATCGACGGATGAAGGCTGGATATCGACGGAGAAAGGTTGGAAAACTTTAACCTTCGATATCTCCTAAACGGTTAGAGATACAGGCTTCGGACTGGTACCAAATTAAAGCCCTTTCAAAACCCTACATTTTGGACTACATGTACGACTCTCTACTCCCAGTAGAAGCGGAGATATCGACGGAGAAAGGTTGGAAATCTTCAACCTTCGATATCTCCTAAATGGTTAGAGATACAGGCTTCGGACAGGTACCAAATTAAAGCCCTTTCAAAACCCTTCATTTTGGACTACATGGACGACTCTCTACTCCCAGTAGAAGCGGAGATATCGACGGATGAAGGCTGGATATCGACGGTGAAAGGTTGGAAATTTTTAAACTTCGATATCTCCTAAACGGTTAGAGATAGAGACTTCGGACAGGTACCAAATTAAAGCCCTTTCAAAACCCTACATTTTGGACTACAATGACGACCCTCTACTCCCAGTAGAAGCGGAGATATCGACGGAGAAGGTTGGAAAAACTTTAACCTTCGATATCTCCTAAACGGTTAGAGATACAGGCTTCGGACAGGTACCAAATTAAAGCCCTTTCAAAACACTACATTTTGGACTACATGGACGACCCTCTACTCCCAGTAGAAGCGGAGATATCGACGGATGAAGGCTGGATATCGACGGAGAAAGGTTGGAAAACTTTAACCTTCGATATCTCCTAAACGGTTAGAGATACAGGCTTCGGACTGGTACCAAATTAAAGCCCTTTCAAAACCCTACATTTTGGACTACATGTACGACTCTCTACTCCCAGTAGAAGCGGTGATATCGACGGAGAAAGGTTGGAAATCTTCAACCTTCGATATCTCCTAAACGGTTAGAGATACAGGCTTCGGAGAGGTACCAAATTAAAGCCCTTTCAAAACACTACATTTTGGACTACATGGACGACTCTCTACTCCCAGTAGAAGCGGAGATATCGACGGATGAAGGCTGGATATCGACGGAGAAAGGTTGGAAAACTTTAACCTTCGATATCTCCTAAACGGTTAGAAATACAGGCCTCGGACAGGTACCAAATTAAAGCCCTTTCAAAACCCTACATTTTGGACTACATGGACGACTCTCTACTCCCAGTAGAAGCGGAGATATCGACGGATGAAGGCTGGATATCGACGGAGAAATGTTGGAAAACTTTAACCTTCGATATCTCCTAAACGGTTAGAGATACAGGCCTCGGTCTGGCACCAAAATATAGTCCTCTCAAACCTACATTTTGCCTTAAATGGCGATTTTCAATTGCAAGAAAGTCGCGATTTTCAATCGCGACTTTCTTGCAAACGCTTCAATGCTACGCCGTATCTTTAAGTGCAATGTTAATTTGTCATGCAAATCTATCGACACAACGAGTTTAGTCGAAATCGATTGCTATTGATCATCTCGTTGGATTCACGCCGAGAGTGAAACGTCAGTCTCGGCCGTGTGTCGGGATGCACAATCTCGGCAACGTTGCGAATCAGAGCGAGATGGTGAGAACATATTCTCTCTCTCTCTCTCTTTCGCTTGGCTCGTCAAAACAAGCCGAGCGGAGGGCGGGACTTCAGACGGATAGACGGGAGCAGTTTCTCTGCGCGTGTGTGCCGACTAGATTCTTATATAGAAACGCACGGCAATTGAAAATGGTTAAGCATATACCCTGAGATTCTATCTGTTGCGTATGACGTGTGTGTGTGTGTGTGTGCATGTACGCACACGTACGTCACGCATACTTTCAATGCAACACATGCACACGGACACAACTGCGCTAAAAAACGCCTGCCAGAGTATAGATAAATACTAACGTAACGCTGAAATATTTTAGAAAAATTATTTTAGGTACACACAAAATATTATCTTATTATCATATATTTATATATCGATATAAATCGTATATAATCTTCATGATATTAATCATATACAATCTCAATTCTTATTTTTTTTGTGCATGTTAACATGTTAATTCATGTTACAAATGCATAACAATGCGCGACACCGTGCTTGTCAAGTACGCTATTATGGTTGTAGCACGGACATAAACCGCCTGAAAATGGATGTTGCACGGACAGTCACCAGATGCAGGTTTTACCGTCGAGACCTAAAAGTGGATGTAGCATTGTAGTTCCCCTCTCAAAATGGATGCTGATAGCGCCCATTCCCAGTGCGAAAAATCGGTGTCGCCGAAAACGCCGTGTTGGTCGCTCTCAGCTTCCTCTCTGCTGATACGAATCCATACGAGGTGAGCGTTTATATCGCCTTTGGTTGGTGAACCTGCTCTGTAGACCGCTCTTCTCGATTGCCAGTCCTGGTAAGTAAGATGAAAATAGGGGGGCCAAGCGAACGGCCTACCGCCGAATGTTTTGCCCTATTGTTTAGAATGTTGCAAAAAATAAGAGATTTGTAGTGATTTCAATTAGATGAAAAGCGGAAGCTTTGGTAGCAATGCATCATACATTTGTCGAGATGGGACAAGTGCTTTGCCAGGAGTGCAGACTACGGTAATACCGGTTAAAAACGTCGAGGGAAGCAACGAACGACTCTTTGTCATGGACATGCAAGCCTCTAATGGTAACGCACTTGTTTCGCATGCGGCATATTTCACTCTCGCTCAACCGATTTTATGTCCACGGCTATTATTCTTCGGCCGAATTCTCGCGTTTATTCATACGATCGAATATGTCGACCAGCTGTGATTTATGTAAGAGGAGGAACGTTAGGGCAGGTTAAATAGAGGTTCCGTTCTTCCGAGATATATTCTGGCGTCGCTTTTTGGTACAAATGATACCGAGATATTTATGTAAAAAAACGCGATAGCAGTGTACCCACTGCGAATTCTGTACATTCTACGTCTGTTTTGCAGTCATGTATCATGCGAACGTTGCATTCGTTATAATTATAATTTGTACTTTTAATATCTATTGCAGCATGCAAATGGAAATCGAATGATTTTGAGATTTGGCTCACTCGTCTCAGATTTCATGTGCGATTTTATATCGCACAGATGAATAACTACCTTTAGAATATTTTTGCACTAACTTATTGGATTTAAAAGTAACAATTGGTCAATTATGTGAATATAGGAATGGATGTTTCTATGAATACAGTGTATACTTCCATCTCTGGGTTTTCCGACCTAGGGATGATATGGATGGGAGATGTTATGGTACACAGAGAAACTACTCATGAACTCGCTATGCTGGAACCTAGTCAAACTGACGGTTCCTTTTATTCACATGGTTCACATCCGTATGAAGATATTAGAAATCATATTACACCTACTACCATGGTACGCTATATACCCCAACAGTTTTCAAACGAGTGTTCTGAACCTGATGAAACAATGGAAGCTGCAGATGCCAATGAAATACAGCAAGTATGTTGAGTTCTTTTTTCTTTAAACCAAAGAAAAAGAAGCTATATTGTTGTTTAACTTCTGTACTTATATTTTTATTATTATTAGCTATTATTAGTTGTTATTATTATAATTAGTTTTTAATATTGATATTTTTACATGTTATTTTTGTCGTGTACACAAACAATATATTAATATACATATATTGCTATATACAGGACTATGACTCACAATCTGAAAGACAAGAAAGAAGTGAGTATCTAACTCTAGACGACTATATTGGCGATGAAGAACGTGAGCAAGTGAACAATGCAGCGACTCAAACTACTCAAGATAGTCGCAACCGAAAAATAAAACCTATAAAACATCCTGGACTTGTGTTGAAAACACCAATTGCTTATCAACCTCATACAGATCTGAATTTTATCCCTATTCGTAAAGATGGTATAGGTGAGTATAATTGTATCGTAAATAAGATGTAAAAGATAGAACATTTATATGCAAACTGTTTCTTGAAATTGAATGTAATGTTGACATCTACCACACAGCTGTTTGCGAAAAATGTGGTGCCATTGGTGTTAAACATGCCTTTTACACAAAGGAGCGTAGATTTTGCAGCAGGGCATGTGCACGTTCCTCGGAACATATAGCTCCTACTGCCGATTCGACATATAGTCCATCTCATTCAGTGGATCAAGTGGTATCTACGCACCAAGTGCCCTCCAATGAAACTAAAGTTCCAATGGATGTAAGATAAAAGTTTGATCCATCCTAAACAACAAGTCTATGACAAGATGTAACAAAATAACTTTTTAGGTGGTTGTAAAGGCAGAGGTAGATACCAAGGAATTCGTTGAATCAGAAAAGGACAAAGTTAAATTACAGCCAGTAATGCCAGAAGATTTACCAGTCAGGAGAAAGAGAACAGCTGATATGGTTGGCTCCTATGATTGGACTTCACAACTTACAGAGCCTGGATTTTGTGCTGCACCAGTTTCTTGTTTCAAGCATGTGAGTTTTTGCGAAAAATCTTTTTTTTTATCATGTATATTTTAACATTTGTTTACACATAGCAATTCTTCTTAAACATATGATTATTATCTACACATTTTTGCTATGTTTATATATTTGTATTATGTTGCAAATTCTTGATTTTAGGTTCCTATATCAGAAATATGGGATAACATTACAGTAGGTATGAAGGTAGAGGTAGAGAATACCGATTGTGATGAAGTATGTGAAGCTTTCCCGGATTCCTTTTGGGTAGCAACTGTATTACGCATATGCGGATATAGAGCTTTATTAAGGTACGAGGGCTTTGGACACAATCCAGACAAAGATTTTTGGGTGTCTCTTTGTTCTAATGACATTCATCCCGTTGGTTGGTGTGCTACAATTGGAAAACCTCTTATTCCACCTAACTGTACGTAATCGAAATTATTTCTAACAAAATGTTTAAGCACTATTGAAAAGAACATATTGAAGAAAGTCATAAAATTGCGCGTGAGTAAGCCTGACATACGAAATTCATTTGTGCAGCGATCGCAAACAAGTACAAAGACTGGAAGGATTTCCTGATGAGACGATTAACCGGTGCGAGAACATTGCCGACTACTTTTTATAATAAGGTGAACGACAGTATGAAATCCCGCTTCAGATGCGGGCTTCATTTGGAGGTAGTGGACAAGAACAGAATCTCGCAGGTGAAAGTGGCGACGATACAGAAAATCGTCGGCAAACGTTTGCATGTAAGATACTACGATTCATCTCCGGAAGATAATGGATTTTGGTGCCACGAGGACTCTCCTCTCATACATCCCGTCGGTTGGGCCAAGAAAGTGGGGCAAACGTTAGATGCTTACCCCGAGTACTTGGAACGCGTCGCCAAATCGAAATTGTCCGAGGATGACGCGACGGAGAATCTCTTTCATGTGCCAAAGAATCATCACCTGCATCTGGGATACGCATTTAAGGAGGGAATGAAGATAGAAGCGATCGATCCACTCAATCTTTCAGCCATATGTGCGGCAACGGTCATGCAAGTTTTGAAGGAAGATTACATCATGATACGCATCGACAGCTACGATGAAGACGCCAGTGGTGCCGATTGGTTTTGCTACAACTCATGCTCACCCTGTATCTTTCCAGTCGGTTTCTGTTCCCAGCATGGTTTACCGTTAACACCGCCAAAAGGTTACGATTCTACCACATTCACGTGGGACGCATATCTCGTGGAGACTGAAACCGTGCCCGCTCCTGTGCAATTATTCAATCGGGTATGATTTCGTTACGTCTATACCTTGACACAGCTGTTTTGTCGACTCTTATAGCACGTTGTTTAGCGTATTATATATTTCTACTTTTATATATTTCGTATATATCGTAGGAAATTCCCCAGCATGGATTTATAGAGGGAATGAGACTCGAGGCAGCCGATTTGATGGATCCTAGATTAGTTTGCGTTGCTACTATTACTAGGGTGATTGGCAGGTTGCTACGAGTACACTTCGACGGTTGGGAGGACGAATATGATCAGTGGTTAGATTGTCAGAGCCCTGATATTTATCCCGTTGGATGGTGCGACTTAGTCGACCATAAATTGGAAGGGCCACGTGTACTCACTAAAAACACTAGTCCTACTGGTAAGCATCCATGTATACACATTTATTTGCTCGTTATTTTTATGTGTGCCTTCTTAAAAATGAACGCATTTCTGCAGTAAAATCACCGAGAGGCCTTAAACGTAAAGCTAAGAGAAAAATGAAGAGAGGCAAAATGTCTTGCGCCAAAAATATACTACCTCGTCAGAGTGAACGTATTAATGTGGCTCGTGAACGCGAGCGAGAATTGGAACCTGCTCAAGGCACGAAGATCGAGAGAGAACGCGACTTAGAGAGTCTACCGGAACAGGGAAGCAGAGAACCGGAAACGGCGGAAGAACCAGCTGGACCTGACCAAACCTTACCTAGTCCAACTACTGGGCAAGGTCAAGCTTTGAACGACACCCAAAGCGAGGTGCAAAATCCACCACCTCCCAGAGAAAGGACCGCCACATCGTACATTAACGTGAGTAATTTGAAGCACAGTTTAATCTCGTTACAGACTTAGATTAATGTCGATAGTTGACGAATTAATTTCCAAATTTGTCTTTATAGGTTACTTCGGCGAGTAGTAAATATATACCAAGGCTAGCAGATGTTGTGCATAAAAGTTCAGAATGTGGTGACCTAGTGCCATCTGAGTGGAATGTCTTTGACGTTGCACAATTTCTTCGTGTCAATGACTGTACGACGTACTGCGATAACTTCAGCAAACGTAAAATAGATGGAAAAACATTATTGACTTTGACTAAGGACCAAATAATAGACCTGACGGGCTTTAAAGTTGGACCGTCTTTAAAGATTTACGATTTAATTCAGCAGTTAAAAATCAAAGTGAATCCAGCTCAGGAAAGGTTGAAATTAGGATTGAAAAAATTATTATAACAAAACTAGTATACATATAGTTAGCTGTATGAACCTAAGTTTCATCTCATTACACACAAATTAAACATGGATTTACAGGTAAGGCATGTGAAGTAATGACAGTTGAAATCATCCCATCTCATTATGATTGCATACGTTATTTGTTACATATTTGACTAATGTACTGAAAAGGAAAATGTTTATATGTAGTTTCTTTATAGTCTAAAAATGATCGCGTAAAATTTAGATGCCGTATGATCACTATGAGTTCAAAAGAGATTATTTCATTCTGGAGAGCAACATTTATTTAATTATGGATTTATTGCCTCCGTTTGATGGTCTTTACAAAATATTTAATAAAAAAAGTACTTTATGGATCATGATAAAATAATTTATTAGAGAATCTCGGAAGGATAATAATAATACACTTCAAAATCTACATTTTTTCTCTAAGAATAGAAAGATCTGAAATAGAAATTGATCTTTTTTTTTGTAACACATGTAAATTGGTAGCAGTGCGAATAGTTGAGCATCAATTTTTGTTATTTATTGTTAAATATACAATGCGTTTTACTTTAAATCTATATAATTTTTTTTGCGTATTTAGATATTAATGCCGTAAAACGCATAAATTGAATATAAAAAAATATTTTATATGTTGCATTTGTCAATTTACCAGATTATGCAATCCAAATGCAACTTTCACAATGTATGTTATTGAATCTTATCAATTATTCTAGTAATTGTCAGTAACGAGGAAGATATCATTTTACTGATACAAATCTTTGATTTTTGTTGTGCATACGGAACATATGTTGCAAGTCTAATGTAAAACTGCATTCCAGAATGGATTCATCTATAAGAGCAGTCATGACAGCATCTAATTTTTTATATAGTGTCCATAGAATATGGTAGAAGAGATTTGAAATTAACATTTTTTCACAATATGTGATGTCATACATTTTATATATAATATATATATATAAATAAATATAAATATATATTTATACCTGATACATGTGTAAGAGAAGCTCGATGTACGTATATTGCACTTATACATATTCATAAATATGTGACATATTTTTTGTAATATGTTTTTTTTTTTTGACCGAAGTTTTTCTTCCAACCACACGGCATTATTTGTAAATCCATGCTGTCACGTTGCACCGCATTGAAAATACGGACGCACCAGCCACACCTACAGATAAACGCGATATAAAGATTGGTTTTCTTGTATAAAACGAAACATCAGTAAAATTTCGACCGCGCTCGTATTTTACGCATGTACGCAGAGTAAATTAATATAGATATATTAAAAAATACCGCAAAGTACAAAGGACATTTTTTTTTATCGATCCAATATCAATCAATACTAAACTTGTTCGTGAATTATGCATACATTTTTTACAGGGAGATATAATTCTGTCTATTTTAATAAATCTCTATCAATTCACTCTGTATCGTAATATATATGTATATATATATATGTATATATATATGTGTGTGTGTGTATATATATATGTGTATATATATATATATACATACTCGAATTTGTATATAACCAGAGAAACGAGAAGTTTGAACGTTATATATGTGCTGTATATATACGTATATAGTGTAATGTTAGGTTTAGTCATTCTCTCTGCAGACCATGACGAGCCTTATAAGGTGCAGCACTATCGTAGAGTGGCTGATGCGTGTACGCGGCATATATTGTATCCATATATTGCTTCATCTCTACGACGAATCAAAGCAGTCAGATAAAGTTAAAGCAAACGGCTTCGCCTCTTAAATATTATTTTAGTACTACAGCAGTAACGCGGTTACTCATATTATTTATTCGAACAGTCTGGAATCTCTCTAAAGAATGTGTTCCTCATCTCGCATCTTTTTTTTTCTTTTTCCAACAAAATTGAGTTAATAGCATTGCGTAAATGAATAATCGTCTATCAATATTGTATAATTCTCAGCGTTAAAGCACATCTTTTTCCAACAAAACTAAGTAAATAGCATTGCGTAAATGAATAATCGTCTATCAATATTCTCGTGTGTATAATTCTCGTGTGCGAATTATCACAGAATTCTAGTTACGAAATATTCATGTGAGAAATGAAATTTCTATATATTCGACATCGTCAACTTGTGCATCAAACGTAATCACCTGAGAGATTCTGATCCTTGTTCACAATTCATTCTCCGAGCTACGTACTCCAAAATCAAACAACGACATGGATGTTCCTTTGAACATGTGGGCTCTGAGATATACCGCATATTGTTACTCATTTGACTAAATTGATTAAATTTAAACTCAATTATACATTATATATTAAATTGGTCATCAGTTGAGTCACGACCTTAATTTAGCTGATTATATTATTTCTATCTGGAATTACGAATATGCGAAAGATCAGATAAATTATGGTTGAAATTTAATGTTATATCAGTAATAACAATCAGTTTACAAGTTTACTACGTGCTCATTAGATATATTTACGTTTTACATGAAACAGCGTTTCAAAACACACAACACAAAACACACGGCATTTTTAATAAGTCGCTAGTGGGAATTATTCGATATTCGATCCATTTTCTGTAAAATTTCTGTTACAACTCGTTTAAATTTCTCGTATACATATATACATATTCTTTTTTTAATCAAATAAGAATTACGCGCAATCACAAGTACAAAGCAGCAATACGGATTACGTTGTAGAGTTCACATTGTGGCATTGCGCTTATGTGTTTCAGCTTATATATATATATATATATATATGATTACGATAATTATTTTAATACATATAATGCGGAATTACGTTACGCTTCAGTTATCAGCGTTCGCTAGTAATTCCAAAACATTGCAAATTTAAAGAAAACAGTGTAATGATAAAAAAGTCATTTCAAGAGACACGAGTAATGATGTAGATATTTTCGTTTACCTTGAAGATAATGATAAAAAGTTTGAAAGTATACTCTGCATAGTTATATAAAGATATTTATTAGTTACGTTACATCTTACCCCTCTATGCCGTATTGTGACTTTACATATCAGTTTCTCGATTTACATATATGCCTCGCCTTTTTTATTGCGGCATTAGACTTACGAGAGAATGTAACATTCCACGTTTCCGCGCGAGTCTATGGAAAAAGATGTGGGCGATAGAGGGTTAAGAAAATAAAATGGACATTTGCCAGGAATTGTTATAATCATTATGAAACTATGTCATTAATTTTAGCCACGTATGTCTCCTCGGATCGCAAACTCGAGATTGAAACACATACTCGATTCATAACGTCGCAATATAATTTTCAATAAAAATATCAAAACTTGATATCCAATTTAAATGGCAGATTCAATGTGCGACAAGAGATCGCGTGATAATTCGTGGATGAGATGAAAGATATTTTCGTGATTGTTAATCTTCGAATCTTTATTGGTAAAATTGGATGTCACGTTAACGTTACGCGCGAATCGTCGATAATACGAATTATTGTTCTCCAATTGCACTATTACTACAAATTGACGGCTGGCAGGAAATTATCGGGAAATCGAAAATATTCGTCCGCACGGGTATTCGCATAATTTTGCAGCAAAGACTCCCCGAGTCTGAAATGTTCGAATGAAGAATCGCGCAAGTATCGAATATCGATTGTCGTGACCCCATTGCGAGTATCTTCCGCTGGTAACGCACACCGTCCATAGAGGGTAGATTGCATTATCAGCGGAGCAAAATCAATTAAGGCCTCTTCCCGCGGGATGTCGCACTGATTCGCGGTTATTAATTGTAACGGCGCAACGGAGGAGTCCGAGACTCGCGTATCGATCTATACATTCGGAGAGCTATTCGCGTCGCGTCTCTCCCGTGTAAATAGCGCCGAGTAAAGACGCCGCCGGCGTACGTAAGATTAGGTAAGATTAGGTAACACGCGCACACTCACACACACACACAACCCGTGTACGCTGAAATGCGCGGCGTGAGTCGTGCAAGGAGACGAGCAACGCCGTTGACACACGGCGGTTTCGCTCGTCTACTTTTGTGCTTGCATTCAGAATCGCCCGGCGCCTCGTAAACGTGACGCGTCGAGCGAGCGAGCGAGCGAGCGACCGACGCGACGCGACGCGACGCACGCCGACGCAACGACGACGAAGTGGTGTGGTGGTGCTGCTGGTGGTGGTAGTAGTAGTAGTAGAGGAGTAGTAGTAGTAGTAGTAGTAGTAACAGCAGCAGCAGTAGTAGTGGTGGTGATGGTGGTGGGAACGTTCGTTGTGTGTAAACCCGATGACCGTAGCTCACCGTAGCGTACAGATGGTCTGCTACGTATATACGCTACGCTCACGGTGGGGGGAGAGTGGGGGTCTACTAGACTGGCGTATTCTATGGGCGGGGCTTTAGCCAGCTGGCAGATGTTTCCCGCGCGGCCGCGTTACTCCTCTAGCGTAAACCTACGCGACGCGAAGTAGTCCCCGATCGCGCGACCGAATATTTCCCGCGGTGGATGAGCGGCTGCACGGGCGAATTCGCGTACCGGTTTCCGCTGAGAGGACGAACGATCCATGACGACACCGACCGCGAAAACAGTCGGAACAACGAGTCGATGACGAAGATGAGCTGACGAGGGATTGGTCCGACTAAGAGCCACCGTTCAGGGCAGTGCGAGGCGCGCGTCACCCCTGGTCGCGTCGAGTCGTGAGTCGTCGTGACTGTACCGCGCTCCGGGACGCGACTTTCAAGTGTCTCCCGCGAGCTGAATTCAACGCGAAAGTATCGTCGCACGCGCTCGTCAACCGCCGAAGGACATGGTGCACGCCCGGCACGCACATACCATATAACGTGCGTGCCTCGCACGCGGTCGCCCACGGACTTGCTTCGACGACGAGTAGACGTGTGTGAAGGATCTACTTGCCGCGCGCGTCGCGCGATGTTTCTACCGGCGTACGTGAACGGAGCGACACTGCGAGCAACATCGTCCCGCATCCGTGCGTCTTAACCAGGTCGGTCTGGCATTCCGGGCAACGAACAGTCGCCGTAAAGCCAGTGAGTAAGCGCCGAGACTCGACGCGTGTTCGTTTTCGATATCACGCGGTGGAACTTTGAATATCCTCCTGTGCGTGTAACTTTCGCCGCGAGTGTCCGACATCACAGAGATTTTCCCGTATGTGACTTTCGACGAGGAGGCTCGCACATCGCACGAATCGTTTACGATTACGACGAGTCAATCGTCGACCGACGGTCGATCGGTCCCGTATGTTACGTGAGTGAAGTAAAAGTGCAGTGAGACTGTGAAGAGAGAGAGAGAGAGAGAGAGAGAGGGAGAGGGAGATAAGGGCCCTCAGCTGAGCGCCCTAGCTCGGAATAGCGTAGCGACGCTCCTGACGCCGGCGGCGGAGTGATCCACAGCGCGTCGTGGGGGCCCTCAGCTGTTTCCCGCCAAAGATCGCCATTACAAAACGCGTTCGGGCGTTGTGTGTGCGCGCCGCGCGGAGCGTGTGACTGTCTCGTGGACGAGTCTCGAGTGCGTGCCACCGGCGTCGGTTGAGGCAAGAAAAAAAGCGGGCTTCGTCGCGAGACACGGCGTTAGCCGGGGAAAGTGGCGAGCCGCGACGCGAGTGTACCGACGTATACGTATATTATAACCGAAACGAAGACGTGTGTTTGATAAAACGCGCGTTGTTTGTCCCCCCCCTTCCCCTCCCTCCGCCCCGGTGGAGTGCGCGGTCGGGCGAGCGAACGAACGAACCAACCGACGGACGAACGAACGAACGAACGAACCAACGGCCGGGCGAGAAAGAGTGAGAGCGACAAGGAGAGAGGACTACACGGAGAAGAGCAACGCGAAGCCCCGTCGTCTTCTCGCAGCCCCACGACGACGGCTGTGTCGGGGACGTGAAATTCGCTCGACGGGACTCTCGGACGTGCCGCGGACCAACGAGATATGTCAGTGTTTGGTGGTGACGATCGGATTTTGCTCGAGGAAATTGTCGAGGTGACTGAGCAGCAGGAGGCTGAACTGTGCGGGTGAGTCTCTTCATCCTGACTATCATACCGGGCGAGTAAAAAAATAGCACGCGCGTAGTAGTAACGGAAGAAGTAGAGAGAGAAAGAGAGAGAGAGGGGGGGAGAGAGAGAGAGAGACAGAGATAGTGATGATGGTGGGTACCGCCATGTGTCGATATATGTATGCATGCACCTATATATATACGTGCATGTACACGCTGTGTGCTCGCGTTTGACATGGCGCGATTATATGCATATACACGCTCATTGCGCGTACGAAGAGAGTAGAGTAGAGAAAGAGAGAACGAGAAGGAGGGACGATCTTTATTGGCTCTTGAAAGAGTGTCGTGTCCGACCCGCTTATCGCTTCAACCTGTTTGCGAGCGTAACGTAGCTGCCGCCGTGGCATCGGGGCGGCGACGACAGCGGCGACGGCGGCGGCGGTGGTATATCGACGTCGCCGTTCGGGCTTGCTAGCTCGCGAAACGCGCGTGTATATCGAGCCGCGCAAGAGAGCGAGTACAGCTGTTGAAGCCGGCCGGCCGGCCGGCCGGCGCCCGTCCGATATCCGGCTGCTGGCGGCCGATGTGTGCGTGATCGTGACGCCGCTTCGTCGCGGCGGTCGCCGCCACCGTTATCTCCGTCTCTGTCTCCATCGTCGCTGTCGTCGTCGTCATCGCTGCCATCGCCACCGCCACCGCCACCGCCGCGCCGCACCGCTTCCCGAAAGCCGCTTTCCGCTGGAAACGCAGGGACGCGTAGCGCCGCGCCGCTTTGCGTCGGACCGGCGTTCGCAAGTCTCCTCCGCGCGCTCCTCCGTCCGCGTTCACGCCCAAACAAGCATGGCGTGCGGGCTCGCTCGCGCGCGCGGCGGATGCATTCTCTCGCGACGGAGTGCGGCTATGACATTGCTCCTGTTACCGTACGTTTCTGCATTTCATTCCTCGCGTGATCCGCTGCATTTTTCTCCGGCCAGTTTTTCTCCTCGCCGCGAGCCTGCGAGATTTACGAGTGCTGCTGCGCACACACTCGGGGATAATTAATACGGATGGATGCAGACGGCGGAGGGGGTATTTTTCGGACGGCGCGCTAACCCGGGACTGTCGGGCGGCGTGTGTCGATCTCTCTCTCTCTCTCTCTCTCTCTCTCGCTTCAATTCGTTACTCCCCTCTTGCGTTGGGTTTTCACAAACGGAGCACAGCACGTTATTCGAATTACACAATATTTATGGCGACGACGCAATCGTCGATCGACACAAAGAGTTGTGCAAATCTCGCAGCTCGCGACGATCGGGGACGGCGAGTGGACTGGCCATGAGTCTCGCTGTACGGCGCAGAAACGCGAAATTGTCCTGTGAAAATGATAAAGCGGTTCCACACCGGGGCCGCTGCCATCGCGCCTCGGCTCGACGACGTATGCCAAGTCATTTTTTTTGCGCCTCTCCGTTTGTGTACGGCGTGAGATTTTTTGTCTCGCGTTCGAGTACAACGATCGTAGAACAAAGAAGCAGGAAGACGCCGAGGAAAGTATGTTCTTTTGTGTACAGCCGAGTGACCGACAGAGCGGTGGGGTATACGTCGCGCGTACGTTACGTAAAGCCGCGTTTGTTGCACAATAATCGGTTTCTATAAATAACCGCGAAGCATGCCGCGCTTCGGCTCGACTTCTTGTTTACATACGCTCATCACCGTTGCACCACGTCGCTGCTCGCGCTCGCGCCGCGTCCCTCGGGTCGTGCCGTATCTTTCACTTCTGGATCGGCTACGATCTCATTCATAGCACGCGGAAATATTCCCAGCCGTTTGTATACTCACGTCAAATCTGAACTTTGTACTTTGAGAAATCGCTTACGGTCCGTTTGCAGAAACGTCGATTACCATCGTGTACTCGCAGAAGGCAGAGAGACGCCGCAATGAGAATCGATTAAATTGCGTTCGACTCTGCTGCGATCTTCGACGTCCACGTTTATCCCTGAGGCATACATCAATGATCGAAAGATGATTGTTAATTATCAGATTCTTTCCACTCGCGTTAATTCGCATTGCTAGAGATCCTTTACGCTGTGTATAGGACGTCTCTCGTTCGTAGAGAACAAAAGAGGAGAAGAAGATGATGATCCCTGCGCGCGCAGAAACAAATCGAAGATAAAAACGTGTGCAAAAACAATTGTTTCATTCGGTATCTCTGATTTTTGTCTCTTCAAGTGCAGGACCGTCACTTCCTTCTCGGATGCATCCCGTACGCAACAGCAAATATATCTGCTCACCGAACTGGGAATATCCCGCAAAAGAAGGATCATTAAATCTCTCGAGTGCACATTTTACATTCCTACATCGAGTCGCTCGCTGTCACCGTAGTCATCGGCGATATAAAAAGCGTCCGAAAGTAACGTCGCATATTGTTTGGTGTGTATGGTGTAAGAGATATAAAACAGCGTACGCCATGTTAATAAAAGCGAGGTGTTGGCGTTGCTGTCGCACACCACACACACACACACACACACACACACACACGCATATAAACATTCCACGCTCATACAGGCGCAAACGGATTATTACAATCGGTATCAAGCGTAATAAAATCAACATTGTACGCGACATACCTAATTAAGTAATAATGTCGTTCCTCATGCATCATTACTTTTCATTGCATTATTCATACGTTTCTAATCGCGATGCAGCAGCGAGAATCGATGGAAGCGGGCCGAACGCGCGTATTGACGTTGATCCGAATTATGCAACTTATCATTCATTGTTTATGCTGCGTTATCTGATAACGTCATTACGCGGGTTTCGCGCCACGATAAATCCGCCGTCATAGTTACGACGTGGTGTGGCGTGGCGGAGAGTGACAGAGAAGGAGGAATGGGGGGAGGGAGGGGGGAGAGAGAGAGAGAGAGAGAGAGAGAGAGAGAGAGAGAGAGAGAGAGAGAGAAACTATTTCCCAAACTTGCCCCGTTGGAATGTATAACTTTGACACCGAAGTTCGCCGTAACGCACAAAATCACATCAGATATGCGCTTATCCGTTAATCGCTACAGGTACGATATCAGCCGATTAAAACAGCCTGTCGTTGTTGCGTAATCAGTACGGTTCATGCAACCGGCGATCGCAATAAATTTTCAACCGCGAGATAAAAGCGATTTATTTCGGCGCGCACTATTTACCGGTTTATTGAAAATAGCTTCGGAACTCGAGTCCCTCGCCTGACGCGAATGACATTTCGCACGTCGAACGCACGTCGTCGCTTTCGTAACGCGCGATCGACGAATATACTGTGAATTAAACACACTAATACGCGCCTCTTCCTTTCTTCTAATTAGCACGACACACTTTGAACCCGGCGCTTAAGCTCCGCGCGTGATCGTACAATTGTTCACTTTTGTATTCCGTGATATGTCCCGTCATCTGTTCTTCTTTTCCTTTTTTCTTTTTGCAATAATGCTACTTTGAATAATGCAAATGACTCAACAATCGCGATTTTGCAATCGGCCATACATTTTATCTGGCATTTCCTTCGCACCACCACTATCACCGTGCGACGTCAGCGACGACGACGACGACGACGTAAACAGTCGGACATTCCCGCATAATGCGATTCCGTAATTAATATGCATGCTTCGCGGCACGTAAGCACCGCGTATCGATCAGATAATGATTAGCGGCGTAGCCGGCGTCTGAATGATACTTATCTGCGCGCGCGCGCGACAACTACGCGAGCTATCTCGCGGTAAACGGTTTACCGATTCTTTCGCGTTGGCACACACGCGGAATCGCGAGTCACGACAGAGGACGGCTCGCGCGCGCGTCCTCCTCAGGTCGACGCAGTTTTCCGTGTTGCGTCCGTTCGCGACTTAATAAATGGGTCAGGCCAAACCTGACCACGGTGAACGTAGCGACGTACCATATCGCGTACGTCGCTTTCCAAGTATGCGCGCAACGCGGACACGTCGCGCGTATCGCGCGCGTCATGTTATCGTCGTCGTCAACGTCGTCGCGATGGATGCATGCGCGATGCGGATCGACGAGAGGCGCGATATAAAGCGAGAGGTGCGCGAGGCAGAGCAAGATGCAGCGAGTGAGTTATATCTCGCACGATGTGCACCTACTTGCACCGGGTTAACCTCTGCATTCGGGTGCGCATGCACCCGACGGAGGTGCATGTCATATAATGTTCGTTCCACGGTACGACGCAAATCACGGGCGCGTCATACGCGCGCGTCCGAGGAGGCGCCGTTGAGCGTGATGAGGTCTTATGGTGCAATCGTCAAACATTGCCGCGAAGAGGCCAAGCTCCAGCTGGGAGAACATGTAATTTTGGGTATTTTGGGAAAACGCGCGCGGCCCCAAGACACAAGTCGATCGGCATGTACGATGAAAGTCGACGAAATACGCAACAAGTCTCAGAGATGAGATTTCACGCAGATCCGAGTAGCGCTCTTGGAGTTTACGTCCGTGTTGAGTTGTGCGTTAACGTTTTGCTAATCGCGCTAATTGTTGACATCGAAGGGACGGTACGCTCTCGGGACACGGCGGGAGTTCGCGATGCTTGCGGTTGGCGGGAATGTTGCGGTGTGTCACGTCGCGCGGCACCGTGAAATCTGTCCCGGTCGTTTGAACGGCTTCGTCTAGGAATGGACTTAACACCTGCCGCAACTGCATAATTTTTTTCAATCTCGTTATCCGTCGGTACTTCCTGTCGGCGAAGTTAACCAGGTTGAACAACTCGCAGCCGTCCGTTTCCGCCGCGATAAACGCGCGATTCTATCGTTTCCGGGGACCCGTGGCTTTATCATTCATGCAAATACTACGGCGAGTGATAGGTCGCTGTTTGCGGCATAACGTCCGTAATCGATAGAAGAGCGCCGCCGCGCCGTCGTGATAGACCCAAGTGGACAAAACGAGTCTTTATTTAAATGTCTACCTGCAACGACACGACTTCGCAATAAGGCACTCGCGTGTGTGTATATTTCAACCGTAAGCCCGTGCAACGACGTTGTTAATTAATAAAAGGAATACCTA